GAAAATTTATGTAAAAGAAATTGTAATCGATTTCAAAAAACAGTACTTATATTTTCAATATATATATATATAACTGTCTTTTCTATGTGTACATTACAGGACGTATCGACGTTCATCAGTTGTGAATCGACTTTGATAATTTTAATCATTTTTCACACAAATTTCACCATAGATTGAAATATATTTAGTTCGTTGTAATATAATGCAAATGACAGCTAATATTTTGTCTGATTTTATTTAAAAAGTTGCATTAAGAACATTTTAAGTTTCAAATACATAAGATACATTTTAGTTACAAGCTTCTTATTTGATTTTAGTTCCGCAACATTCTATTACGGTCTGAGTATAAGACTGGTTCAAGTTTTATCTTTATTTGATTATTTACTATCACGTGGGCACACGGAACTAAGGTATTAGTAATCGAATAATTCCTGGTTATCGTGGGTCGCAGTGCGCCACGCTCGACTGGCCGCGCGCCTCCGGCCACGCAGTCACCAAATATACTGCGAAATATAGGACATATTTTAATTTTAAACAATATACTAAACAAAATCATTTAAAACAAATTAATATTTCTGTAATATACAAATAATAGAATACAAACAAACTAGACCATTTATTCCTATAACTACTAAAAACATATACGAAACTTCGAAATCCTCAATAAACTGTTAAGCAATTTAACGATTTCTATAGTGGTAACTGTGTATCTAATTTTTATTGTTAAATAAATAAATAAAAAACCTACTTTAGTAAGGATAATTTTACACAATTAATTAAATTTTTATATTTAATATTTAATTAAGTTTAAATTTTATATTATATATTTAATTAAATCGATTATTTGCGCTGTACCTTTACGTGTATATTTATAACTGATTAAACAGCAATACCACATTATAATAAGTACCCAACTACTTTGACAATACACTTAATGTCTTAGGACCTTACGTTTAGAACATTTTTATTCAAAATACCAATAATATATTATTTAAAATCTCTTATTATTATAATATGAGTATTAATAGATGTTACAAATGCTAAGGTAATAAATATATTTTGTTACTAATTAATTTATCTAGAAATTGTTATCGTGTAATATTATATTCGACTGCTGCGTCGCCAGTTCTGTTTTCTTTGAACTTGGCTGAATACGCTACTGCGTATCTAGATCACGATTATTTTTGAATACACTATTTTTGTTTTGTTATTATTATTATTAAGATAGTATAAAATAAATGCGGATAGTAGATTATCAATACGCACACATAAATATTGTAATATATGTTTTAATGTATGTAATATTAAAACAACGTATTAAAATATTATCATAATTTGCAAATAATTACCTAAATTTGAAATGAGACATACGAAACAAATTTTAATAATATAAAATACCAAGAAAATTTTATATTTTTTAATAATGCCCGCAGCTTCGTACTCGAGGATTTTGAAAATAGATAACCACTTCTAGATGTCGTTTCGATTATCGTGATAAAACATACACTAGCTTTTAAATTAGATAATCAGGAGCACAATTTAATGCAATATTTGTACATAATACCGGAACAAACGTACAGACAGATAAATTATTTAAAAATAATGTTTTGGCTTCTATTGCTCTTAAATACTATGTAATCTCTCACATATTATTTACATATTAAAATTATCGTTTTCTTAAATTCTATGCACAAATATCGTCTAGTTATATTATTAAATTATGCATATGTATCTTCATCATTTTTATTCTAATTTCAAATAGATAATAATTAATTAAGCTGACACGGAGGGCTGTTTTGAATTTAAACAAATCAAGTTTTATCGTTAGCGCACAGCGCATTGTTGGTCAATTCAATTTATTTTCCACTGGTCTCATTATCCTTATCCTCTTTCTTCCTTAAACAATAGACGCCATTTCTTTCTGTATTCCAAAATGGTTTTCATTAGCCATAAATTCGATTATGCAAATTTTAAAAGCGATCCTTTGAAGGGAAAATTCATTGATATATATATTTTATGCAGTCACCCAGTTGTCCATTTTGGTGGTATATTTATTATTTCTCCATTTATTATAGTTTTGTTGTACGAAGCCGATGACAATATATATTATTCGACAAAAATTTCTGAATAAATCTAAACATCATACATAAAATTAATTTCACACGTTCGTTAAATTTACGTTAATAAATATTTATTCCTAATATTGATTGTATGGTAACCCTAACCCAAGCCTTTCTTAGTGCTCCAATGAACTGCCGTCTGTATAGCAAGGCCTGTCCGTTCACATTCAACTTAGTATTTTACTTATAAATTTAAGACTACTTAGAAATCATTGTGCATGAATTATCAATTACATATCCGTCAATAAATCATGTGTTATTATTATTATTATTTACAGTAAATAAATTATTTTATAATTCGTTATTGGTGAAGAGAGTTTTTATTATATATTATAGCATGTCGTAAAATGTTTATATAGCATGCAAAATACGACTATGACAACATTTAAAAATAAATATAGTTATATTTTCTTACTCCGTAATATAATATATAGTACCTAAACACCTTTTATTTCATATTCAAGAGGTTTATTGCCTCTAAGCCTTAGGGCAACAAACCTCTTGAATGTTCTTAAAATCTAAAGATTTCATCTGAGGAGCAAAATATGAATACTTACTGTAATAAATACTACATGTACATGAATAACATATGATTTTATATAAAAAATATTTCAGTATACCTATCAGTTATCTTTATTTTGAACTAAATGTATTTTTACATGTCGAGATACATTATATTTCCAGAAATTCACATATTTAACATCGTAGCGCATTTTTTATCACTTATGTTAATATTATAATTGGGACAAATCTAGTTTATTTTTTTCGACAAATCGATTGGTAAAACAGAATTATATTTATAAGGATGTTTTGAATATTCTTATACTAGAACTTCTGGTGCCAAGCGTAAACGAGTACACCATTCGATCTTCATCCATTTAAAAAAGGAACTGGAAATTAGTAGAATTATAATAAATCAGGCAGTATCATCACTGTAATGAATTTTAGAATACTACAACAACTCAATTAATAGGTTTTTTAATTTGTGTACATGCATATTTACATAAAATTACTATATACATGTACGCATATTCTATCGTATAAGTACCTATTGTAATTTATGGTTAAGAATCAGGTTTGATCTCAAGCACTTGTTTTGAATACTTGCATTTTAATTAGTTTACCAACACAGTCACAATGACGACCTTCCTTTGAACCATTCTATGGTCATCATTGTATTCTATCAGCCATTAACTGTCCACTGCTAAACGTAAGCCTTCGCCATAGAGAAGGGCTTTTCAAGTGGATGCCACACTTTGCAGGCGGCTTGACAACCGCATTTAGGTTGTAGTGTTGTTTTAAGAGGGACAGTACTGTTCCATCCCTCGATCATTAAACCCCTTAGTTGCCGACTCCCACAGATTAAGGATATAAAAAAAAACAGATGAATATTGTAAACTTAATTCTGAGATCCACTTAATTCTATATAATGATTTCTTAGCTAAAAAAAATTAGAAATTGATATTTCTAAATCAGCCCAATAATAAAATTTTGTAATTATGTTTTCAATAACTGCAGTTTATCTTCTATAATTTTTATTATAATATAACATTAATAATAATAACCTATTTTAATAGGTACTAAAATAATATTTACTATATTATAAATGTAATACATTACAGATCATAGAGTCTTACTGATTACAGTAGGATAAGAGTTCAACAAAATTTGAACATTTTTTAAATTTTAATGTAAATAGTAAATACAAGCATAACAATAACAAATACTGGTTATAATACACGTGTATAAAGCAGGCGACATAATTAAAAAAACACAAGTCACTTATATATAAAGCTCTATTACCTATATCCGACCATAGATTATTAAGTTTTTTTTTTTCACATTCCTTTTCACATTTACGACATTCCTTTCATTCATATTATTTGATTTGGTGGTGTCTTTTGAATTTGATTATATTTTGTTAAAATGTATCCAATGATTTCCTAAAATTGATTAAAGTACGATGGGACTGACGTGTCTAAAAGGACAAAAGTCCCTAAATAAATAAAGATAAAAAAAAGCTCTATTAGGAATGTCTATTTTTATTGATCAAGTAATTAAAAAGCTATTATGATGACTCTTGACTCTTCCTTCAGATACACCGCATTCTTTCTGCTAAAATCGTCGTGTATGCATGAGACAAGTTATTGAAGTTGAGGAAGCAAGAGATGTATGTAAGGATAGAGGTCTTTGACACTTGATTCTCTCTGCCCACCCCGCAAGAGACTTGGTGTAAAGATGATAGAGAAGAAATAGTACCTAGTAACATTATATTACCACCCACAAACGAACTTATTCTGTTTTATATATTAAGTTCATTATTATTTTTAAAATATTTATGCAATGGATTATTATAAAATAGCCTTGAATGACTTTATAACTTTTATTCAATAATTAATTATGTATTAAAAGAAAAACTTGTGTAGCATCACAAATTAAATGGAAAATTACAGAAAAATAATGATTGTTCCACAACGATAAGCATACTGCAACCCTAACTCATATATCACATATGATTAATACTAATGATACCGAAATAAATAATTTGTCAAACATAAAATTGAATCTTGTAGGTAATATGTAAATTAAATACAAATGTAAGTTATACACATACATTGATTAATTTGAGAATTTTTAAAAAGGATTGTAATTAGGCTAAATCGACACTAAGTAACATCTAAATGCACATTTCGGACTGACGTGGTTGCGCACTACATACCCCGGCCACGAAATTCTTTCGTTATGAATGACCGCCACATACGTCCAAGGTTACTCGTCATATTGACAACTGACATTGTTCTAGCAAATATTATTATGTACCTACTGAAATTGCCTTACCTTTTAATTATGTCCGGTCACTATAAATACGACGGAGGGCAAGTCAAATTTATCAGTCGACCGTGTGCGGTTTGAAGTGATCTAGTTCGTCAGAAAACACAGACCACGTTTACAATGAAATCGATGGTGGTGTTCTTCGCTCTCGCCGCTGTGGCATGCGGCTCCTTAATACCAGTGGCGCAGCCGCCACATCATGCCGCGATCGTGCTGGACCCCCACGGCCGTCCACTCAACACAGCTGAGGTCATCAACGCTCGTGCCATCCACTACCAAGCTAAGGCTCTGGAAGGACACTACGCTCCGGTAGTCGCCGCACCAGTGGCCCACTCCGTCGTCGCTGCCCCCGCTGTGGTCGCTGCCCCCGCTGTGGTCGCCGCCCCTGCCGCCGTCTCTCATCAATCTCGTGTGGATGTGCACACAAGCCCCGCTGTTGTATCCCACGCCGTCGCCGCTCCAGTTGTTGCTGCTTCTTATTTGGGACACTCCGCATATGGCTTCGCTGGACACGAACATTTTCTGAAGAAACGCTCCCTGGCTGCCTACGGATACGCTGCGCCCATCGTTGCACCATCTGCCGCTGTAGTGTCCCACGCCGTCGCTGCTCCAGTTGTGTCGCATGCCGCCCCCGTGGTCGCTGTAGGACCCTCAGCCGTATCTCATCAGTCCCGTGTTGATGTGCGCACCAGTCCCGCTGTGGTTACCACCGCAGCTGTCGCCCCCGTTGCGCACAGCGTGTACGCCGCTGCCCCAATCGCCCATAGCGTCTACGCTGCCCCCCTTGCGCATTCTGGTTACTACCATTCTAGCCCCCTTGCTCATGGTTGGTAAAGAACGAATCTGACGAACTCCTAAGAATAGTATTTAATGTAAAAATGTAAAAAAAATAATTTATAAATAAAGTACATACATACAATCCCATCTTTCTTTTTATTTGTTTAGAAACTTCTTTAAACTATCATATATAATTATGTCAAATACCTATATTTCAAAACTATAATTTACAACAGCAATCAAGCGACCAAAAAGGGTCTCAATAGGTTATTTTTAAAATAATACATATTATTTTTACTTTTAAATATTTTTCCTTTTAAAGAATAATAATTTGTCAGTAATTTCATAAATTGATAGGTTGATCTCGAGTTTATACTAATCATAAATAAATGCAGTCCCTAAAACTTTAAAATTTACAATATCAATGAATCTGTTCTATTTTATTAATACATACATATGTATTATTATTAATAAAATATGTAGCATTAATTTAAATTGTACATATGTACATATTTAAATTATACTATATATTGTATTATTAATCAACAGAAATCACATGATTTCTGTTCTAGATTCTACAGTACAATTCTTTCTACTTCTCAGTGTAAATCCTACAGCTTCAATATCTGCATTGTTTTTGATGCAAAATTTGAATTTGAAAACACATATTTCTTTTAGAAATTACAAATATGTAAATTAATTAATCTTAAATTTTACTCAAGTATATATATATTATATTTTTTAGCAGATATATTTTTTATTAAAACATACTGAAAACGGTCTTTCCTATACTAAATGGATATTTCCCATCAATAGAGTTTTAATTAGAGAAAGATTTCTTTTAATGGAATCAATAAATAAATAATAATGAAAAATAAGTAAACAGTTGTTTTGAAACCAATTCGACACGATAAAAACTATAATATAATATTAGGATTTGGATTGAATTTGGATTTTGATAAATTACTTTTAAATCGAAAAAAAAATCATTATCTATTGTAAACAATATATATATATATATATATATATATATATATATATATATATATATATATATATATATATATATATATATATATATATATATATATATATATATATATATATTTTTAGGTATCCAAAACCCACGTTCTATCATGACTTTACAGCCTACACCTTAAATTATATAGATAAAATGTCTGCATACAAATGCTTCGCCTAAAACATGTCAACTTTATTATCTACGTATACGTAAAAAGGATTACCATAAAATGTACATTTATTACTCAGAGAAATTCTATTGAATTGAATTTGGTATTTTTCAATTCAACCTACTTGACGAATATTATTAACAGTCCAATATAAATAGTGCATAATGATTCGTAATAGTGTTTAATTTTATTAATTTCTTTGATTTATATCTAGTATAGACATAAAATATATTTTCGTTTTTAAATCGCTGAAAATGTTCGCTAATTTGATTAACATATATATATATATATATATATATATATATATATATATATATATATATATATATATATATATATATATATATATATATATATATATATATATATATATATATAGTGATTTGTTAGATATATATGTATTGAATTAAAAGGAAATTTATCAGATATATATATAAAAAATTCTGCACTAAAGTAAAATGAAAAATATTGTAAAATAAATGAGTATTTATATGACAATAATACACAAATTTGTAATTTGTATTAATGTCAGGCGTATGATATGATATCACTGTTCATTAATTTAATCAATATTCTTTTATATAGTAATTGTAATATTTTAAACTGACGTATCATGTTTGTAAGAGATCTATATGAATAAAATTTGTTTTTATTAGAATTTGTAAGTGATACGTATATTTGCATATTTATACTATATTAGAAAAAATAGTTTCCAATTCAAATTTAAAAATTCGACCTATGTGGATTACTCTTGAAATAAATCTAGTAACTTAATGATTTCATATTATTTTTATAGATGTTGTAAACTGATCCCAATTATAACCTAACTCCTGTTGTTTCGTGAGTGTAGTATAAAATTGTCATTGGCAATAAATTGGATTGATATTGATATTAGATTCAAGAGTAGACGTGCTGATATGAGAAATATTTAATCTATTTTCTTGCAACACTAAAAATGGCACATTTTTAGATAAAAAAAAATGTATTACAATTTATTAAGTCAAACGTCAGCTTAGCTTCACTTACATGGATTGCCCACTCACTACCTCATATGCCACTTCGTCCGGTTAACTGAAGGAAATCTCTTTTTGTGATAAGTTCGCCTTTCCTGACATTATTTCTAATTATTATCATTACTGTATGAGTGCAACAAAGAATATTTATATTTATTAAGTTTTGACCCGTTTTTTACTCTCGATTTAATATTTGTTAACAGTTATTTTTAATTTGCCATCGAGGAAGAGAGCAATTGCTATTGCAATATATGTAATAACATTTGCAATTGCTATTGCAAATGTTATTACATAGGAATAAAAGAAGAAAAATTTAAACAAGCTTATTAAATTAGGTTACAGTTATTTTCAATTATTTACTTACTTAACTAACCTACATACTTTGTATTTTATTAAGTTATAAAAAAAAAAAATATAATCACAACTATAACTCCTAATGGGATAGTCAGACTCTGTTGCAACTCTATTAATTAACAAATTTATTACTAAAATTTATACCAGTTATCACCCCATAATTACGTAGTAATATTTTTTAACAAACTCTGAATGGTTGTTTTCAGTAACGCTTTTCACCTCATTCGTCTACGTTATCATCATGATGAAATAACACGTTGATTAGTTATATTACAACACCATTACAAGAAGGAGTAGAACCATAGACTATAAGCCAAAAAAACTATAACCTTTCCAATATCATCATTATATCAGCCCTTAATTATTCATTGCTGAACATAAGCCTCCCCCTTGGGGGTTTTGCCAGTAGTTGCTACGCTTGGCAGGCGGATTGGCAACCGCAGTTAGGCTTTGGAAATGTTTTAAGAGAAACGCTGCTGCCTATCCCTCGCCTTACCATCATACACGTATAATGTTCAGCCTACTCCAAAAAGGAGGTGGTTTTCTATTAGAATTATACTAGCTTTTTCTCACGGATTTATCCACGTAAATTAGTACAAAATGTCAATCAGTAAAAAAACTAACTCATATACTCGTACTAAGTTAGGAATAACTTTCGTATAAACCCAAACATAAAAACAAATTTTATATAAATAAAATCTTTCAATAGGTTTTACGTCAAATATCCATCTATCCATCAATCTTTACAAACTTTTGTAGGATATATAAGACTACATTAATATATTAATATAATAAGTTGAATATGGATAAGGTGCAATGAAATTGAGTACTTTATAATATAATTTATTTATTTGTCTATTCATTTTAATATTACCTATCAAAACGAAAACTACATCGTTCGTCGAGTCAATTTTTGCCACTATCAATGGCCAGCATGCAGTAGACCCGAATGGGATAAATGCAGCTGAGGCGCGGTCCACACAGCGGAGTGCGCGACAGGGACAACATGCGCACCGGAGTTGATTACATCTACACGGGATTGGTGGGATACGGCAGTGGGAGCTGCGAGCACAATGGGGCTAGCCACATGGGACACTACAGCAGGTGCCCATAGTTCAGCCAGAGAACGCTTTTTCAGAAGATGTCCATGAGAGAGAGACAAACCACTGTGAGTACCATAGATTGGAGCGTTCCATATGGAGTGAACAGGTGCAACCACGGAATGAGTAACCACAGCGGGGCTGGATCGAATATCCACGCGCGACTGGTGAGACACAGCCGAAGGAGCAATAGCCACAACTGGGGCTGCGATAGCGTGCGATACAACGGGACTAGCAAGGCTATGAGACAACACAGTTGGTGCCAGTATCTCACCTAGAGATCGCTTCTTCAGAATATGTCCATGAGAAAGAGACAAATCAGCAAGAGCACTGTGAATAGGAGCATCCCAGATGGAATAAGTAGATGCAGCAACGACAGGCGTAGAGACGGCGTGGGAAATCACAGGAGTAGCAATGGCGTGAGAAACTACAGCGGGACTAGAGACAACATCAATACGAGACTGATGCGAGACAGCAGAGGAAGCGATAATGGGAGTGATGTGGGCTAGAGAGCGTTTCTTCAACAAATGTTCTCCACTAATAGCATGACTTAAGAGTGGTGCGTAGGCTTGAGACACGATCGCAGGGCTACTGTGCACGTCAATGCGAGCCTGATGAGATACGGCAGCAGGAGCGGCGACCACTGCAGGCGCGACGACAGCGTGAGCGACGGGAGCAGCGTGTACTAACGGAGCCTGATGATCTTCTAAAACCTTGGCCTGAAGGTGTACAGCACGTGCATTAATAACTTCCGCTGTATCCAAGGGGCGGCCATGAGGGTCCAACACAATGGCGGGATGATGCGGTGGTTGCGCCACTGGGATCAAGGATCCACAAGCCACTGTAGCGATAGCAAATAACACCACCATCGACTTCATGTTGGACGTGGTCTGTGTTATGATTCGACGAACTACAAGATCACTTCAAACCCTGTAACGGTTGACTGATAATGGTTACTAGTCATACGAGCTTTTTATACTTACTGTGGTAAAATAATTAGCTCCATAATTTATAAACCTTAAAATTATTAGTGAGACTACAATGTCAAGTGTCATATGAAAGTAATTCACCTTGTGCCTAGAGTTAACTATACGTCATAAGCGATTCTGAGGTACTTTTACCTTGGTATTGTATTTTAGTTTAAAATAAAATATAGTAATAAAATCTTTAAAAATATCTAATTCATTAAAAATATAATAGTAAATTTAAATAAATTAAAAAACGGCAACTATTGAAGTCGCTAATTTTTTTAATTATGAAGATAAATTATAAAGAAAATAGCAGAAAGTATGTGATTAATATAAATTCAATACTCCTTAACCACGTGACTATTCGTAAGCTTATGTCACTCCCATGTACTTTGCTCTTTACGTCACTAATGGTCCCAGGGTGTTATTGACACATATCTCGTCCCTCGTGTTGTGACCGTTACTCTATAATCGCCTTTATAACTTAGTTGCTACCTATACTTATTCCGTAAATATTTTACTTATTAGATATTTAGTGAATAATATTTAAAATATACATATATATACTTTATTAAAAGTAACAATTTAATATAATATAATAATATTTTTGGTCTGCTCATGATTGAATAGAAATTATATTAATATGATTACTGATTCAAATATAAGAATAGAAATATGTCAGTACTAAAATTAAAGTAGTAATAGGTATAAGCCAAAAGTGAGAACCTAATTTACAACTTAATCAACTGAAATAAGTACTTTATATTATTCTCAATTTCGTGTATAATATAGTATATGTCATATATGTGTAAGTATATTTGTTATTTATATATATTTATTCGTTTATATATGTAATTTTAGTACGTATGTATATTAATAATTAGTAGTACCGCATTCGAGTATTCTGACACTTCCCTATGGTTGACTGGGAGAGAATGCTTTTAGCATTAAGTCCGCCATGTACACATATTTGTACTAATGAATAAAAGAAAGAAAGAAAGAAATAAAAAACAATATTTATATCAAATGCATCTATTTGCTTTGTCAAAATACATAAATAAAAAATAACAGTATAATAGGTAGTTTTTTCAGATCATTATTGCTGTGATTTTATTCACCAAACAGAAGTGTACACTGAAGGCGCAACCAATGAACGGCTTTCCACAATAGCTGGAGCTACTACTTCTTCTGTCACTATGGCCGGGGATGTTTCCACGTCGACCCGAGATTGATGAGTGACGGCAGATCCGCCAGCATATACTGTACCAGTAGGAACGTAAGAACGGGCCACCACAGGCTGGGCGACCACAGCGCGAGACGCAACTACAGGGGACACCACGGCAGGTGAAGCGCGAACATCTACACGTGACTGATGAGAGACAGCGGCGGGAGCAGGGTAGAATGCACGTGCCTCCACTACGGCCGGCTCGGCGACTACGGGGGCCACGACGGATTCAACGACGGGAGCAGTTGCCACAACAGCTGGAGAAGTACGAACATCGACACGTGACTGATGCGACACGGCAGATGGTACAGAATATGCAACTGGAACTACGGATCTCTTTTTGAGAATATGCGTTTGGATATGCGTAGGATATGCAACTTGAGCAGTATTCAATTCGACAAGTGGAGAATACGGCTGCACCAAATATTGCGGAGCAGCTGCTGTCGCCGCAATTACAGCAATCAACACCACCAACGATCTCATATTGAACGAGGTCTGTGTTGGGATCCGAATAAGATCACTTCGCACCGAATACGGCCGACTGATACCCAAATAGTGCAGCTCGTCCTATTTATACAAATCATAACTTATGCATGATACCATTGAGATCACTATGGGCGTCTAGGAATGCAAAGTGATCGTCCTTGCATATTGTCACCGAAATGAGCTACCGAAAAGGTCGCAAATGTAAAGTACATACTTACCATACGGTAGTCAATGATGCGTTGGCATTTGGTGATACTGTAAGCCGACCACATCAATCAATGAGTCGCAAAAAAAACTCACACGCATTATGATCTAGTATTATGATATAGTAACATTAATTAAAGCTTCAAGGTTTAAAATATCCGTTTTGTGTATCTGTTAAAATTATTATTGTAGACGTAACCTGACGATTATTGTAATGGTTAAAACGTAACTAATTTCAATTAAAATATTATCATATCAAGTTTGGCAAGATATTTGTTAGCAAAAAATACTATTTATTGATAATATATATTATAATAATAATTAACAATTAAGCGCTCACAGAAGTAAAGGACGCCATAAATCATACCGTATCGATGATTACGCGACCATTCATTAATTACTCTATCTACAATAATCATACTCCCTATTTAGTATTCAAATAATAAACCCGATTTGTGAATGTGAATAGATATATGAAATTGAAACTATGATAAGGATTAGGATTCGCTACTATCGGAGACACCAAAGGAATACATAATATTCTAATTGGTATGTTGAATTAAATTAACATTTAAATTAAATTTATTTATTTTTAAATTATCACTACGTATTTCACCAATAGACACAGTTTTCTATATTATTCATTATTAATACATCAGCCGTTAACCATCCCCCGGCGAAAATAAGGCTTTGCCAGTAGTTGCCACGCTGAGCATTGGTGATGTTTTAAAAGGGACGCTGCTGCCCATCCCTCGACCATTAAATAACCTTAGCCACCTCTTACGACACCCACTGAGAAGAAATGGGTGACCCATTCTATGCCGGAACCACACGGCAATATTATTCATATATAAAATTATAAAAGGTTATGTTTTTTTATTACCTTTTTTCTTATAACATATTCAAATTGACCATTTTATACCATTACGGAAAATATAGTATTAGTAGACCCCAAAGCATACAGCAAAGGAGACACGTCGCTGCCTTTGCCAAGATCATATACCGATAAGTACATGGGGTGAAATATAAATCAGGGGATAGGAAATCGTCAATTTGAAAGACTAGCAACCCCTTTACTATCAATATAAACCTTCCTGATCAATGCGTCTCGATAGACCAACTGACCTGCGTAAACCAATAACACAATCCGGGTAACCATACTTTATTTAATATCAACAGTTTTATTAGGAAAACAATAATTATAGTGATAAAAATTTTACATTTATAAAATAACAATTCACGAATTAAACCGGCAACGCACACGTAATATTCTTGGTGTTGCAGACATCCATAGGCTGGTGAAATTTTACCGTCGATCTACCAATCACATAATTTCTTATCCAACCACAAAAGAAAATTAATATTTTTCAGTTTTAATTATGTATGTATTATCTTTAAAACTGTTTAAACATATTTAGTCTTTAAAACGCCATCTATTTAATATTATACGAATTAGCTCAAAACAGCGCTTTTTACTTTATGATTACTTACAAAACTCAGTTGATAGTGCACCGAAACTAGTTAGTTTTGGTATACAATTACAGTTGTCGCTTTTCTACAAGAATTACGAAAAATGGCATAAGTTATACTTCGATGCTTTTGAATTTCCTTTCCGAAAGCCTCTGAAACTGTTTTCTTAGCTAAAGAGTAAACTCAGTCACAGAAAGACAAAGTTTAAATGCTTTAAGTGAAGTATCAACATAAGTACGAGAGACAGTTAAGGATTTTAATTCAAAAAAAAATTTTTTTTTTTTGGGTACATTATGGTTCCTGATAATACAGAACATAAGAGATACTGTTCTAGAATTTTTGGAGAAGTGTCCTTTAAAATATATATGATAGATCCGTTATAAATACTAACACTAATAAATCGAGACTGGAAATAGTTAATTTAGAAACTTAGTAGTGTATGTTTTAACTATATCTTTGTATAGATGACAAATGGTACAGCCTATACTACGGATATATAAAGGCGGAGTTGCAATGGAAAATGAAACTGGCTCATTGTGATTAATTCACCTGGAAATAATTATATGCTGATTGATATTGTATACTTTATATCCTAATTCAGAATTGCAGAATACAACTATATCTATGTCACTTTTTTGTACAAATATCACGGGAACAAATTCATAAGCTAATCCACAAAAAAAGCTAGCTTATTTACTTTTGTCCTTATTTTATGGGTCAAAGATAACTTGAAAAAATATTTTTTATGAACGGTACATACTTTATAGGTATTTAAAGGGAGTATTGTGGGCATTCATAGTTATTAATATGGTATGTATTCTATAACATCATCAAATGTGTTGTATGAATATTTTGCAGGAAGTTGGTGGATACAGGTGGCTTAGGACCGTTCATTATGGCAGTCTCTGGAAGAGGCCTATATTCTACAGTGGACAATTAAGGGCTGGAATGAAGATGAATACCTAAATAAATAAAGAACTTAACTAGATGCTTTCACCCCATAATTGCTGTCACGGGCCGGCGAACAGCCACGAGTTTCCAATTTCCATTGTTACGTACAATTTATTAGACCTACTATGTACTTAAATTGCATATCACCTATGAATCACTGTGCATCGTGTTATGTTGTACTTAGTGCATTAGTTACACTAGTCAAATAACGATATTTTAAGGATTTATTTCAAAAACTTGACTTCATTCGATAGTAATCAAAAACATCAAAATCGACGCAAATGCGCTGCCAAAAAATAAATGATTTAAAAAAATAATAAAATCAGTAATTGATTAAATAAAAATTCTAACGATACCCTATTCAAACAAAACTGTTACATACATGAAGTTTGAAACACTACACTTCCTTTTTTTTGGCAAGACATGCTATAGATTTGTCAATTAGAAATATTTATGTGGTGATTGCTACTTTAAAAATAGCAACATTAACACATTAATATACAACAAAATAGGAGGTCTGAAGGAAAAGAAAGTAATGTAAGAATCCTTTAGGTAAAAAACTTTTGATTGTGTTAATTTAACGTTTATATTAATTGTATTTTTAAAGTATTGTTATTAAGACTCAAAGTTGTAATCAGTTAGATCAAGACAGAAGGCATTGGTATCGTGATTGTGTTTTTATTATTGATCATACACTATAAATTATATATTACACTATTTTATCTGAGGCGCTAATTATACTTTATGTTAATTAACGTAACTCATTCCTCAAAGCTAATGTTAGTACTCATTAAAAGGGATTCAATTTTTTTTCTTGAAAATTTTTTTTAATAACTAAAAAAAATACAATTCGCATCTGTACTAACGGTACTACATAACAATAGGTATATACATACCTTGTATGGTGTAAAGCAGTGTAGAGAATGCTACCAGCGTTAAGTTTACCTTTTATACCATATATTCTTTAATAAAGTTATATAAATAAATAATTCTTATAGGCAAATTTATGAATTACCATTAGCATTATAAGCATTGTAAGAGATGACATAAAAAATCTAAGAAATTATATTTATTCATATATTCGTAATTTCGAAATATTTACGAACGATTGTCAATCTTGTACTATACCTTGAGAATAATGAAATATTATTAGCGTAAAACCCCAACAACTACTGAGGTGCAATTTCATTGGGAGTCCTTGATAGGAGCAGGGAAGCCCAGAGTTACGTGGCAGCATACGGCCCGAATAAAGTAGGCCATCAAGTCGATTTGCACACAGCTACCTATGAGTAGAATTAGATGTACATTTTTTTATTTAATTGCTAAATTAAATTATAGAGTAGTATTATTTAATTTAGTAATATATTTGTTATAATTTAGTTTAGTTTTATATTATCAGTGATTATACGAATTAAGCGGTGTGTCATATGTCTCCCTATTTCTTTGATTTAAAGTTCTACTTGTATAAAACTAATCGAAAACTACAATTAATGTAACTTCATCATTATACGATATTAGGTATGTACTGAAGGTAAAATAAAACTGATTATTTCTTATTCAATACATATATAGTGAATAGAACTTCTCGTATTTTATATTTTTTTAATCTGTGTGTTCCATATTATATCGTGTTATAAATTTTTCATATCTTCCACTTTTAATTTCAATGATTAAACTATTATTAAAAAGGTGACTAAATTTTTACAAACTGGAGGATCTCAAATCGCCTGTATTTTGTGTGTGCTCTTCACCAATTTTGAACCGATTTTGAAATTATTTTATGCCATCGATAGTGTTTGGTTTCCGTATTCATTTTGTTACAAATAAATACGTTGATTCCCAAACAGTTTTATCTAAATTTATTTTTAAGCAACTTCCACATATTCCTTTAAAATGGGACAATCTTTCATGTATTTACAGTATGTTACACGATGTCTTCAATTGTAAGTCATTATTAACAATTATTTCTGTAATCAATAGGATCTTTTTGCGTAATAGGCTATTGTGGCATTATTGTATTGTTTTGTTCAAATATAAAGACATCGTAAATGTAAGAAATAAATTAAATGTGAGTAACGACTCTACAGAATCTCTATTCCGTAGCAAGCATCGCATGACCTTGCATAGTGCGATGCAATAGGCGCAATTCGGAAAACCCGTTCGATTAAATACTTACAACATTTACTCTTTGTATTTTTTTTTTTCCTATTTACACTCATCATTTCAGCCGTTAACTATCCACTGCTGAACACAAACCTTCTCCATAACGGGAGATTTTTTTACAATAACCTATAATAATGCTTCATACAATATAATTACATTTATAATAAATATATACAATTATAATGCTTATTTACAATAATTCTAATAAATGCAATAAATGTATACAGTAAATTATTTCTTTTTAAGTGTTTTCAGAACAAAA